CCCTTCTGTCCCCCAGATCTCAAATCAGCGGGCTTGAACTGCTTCGCTGTAGGTTGTGACTAAATAGGAGCCTACCTCAACTCTCTTTTCTGAATCTCTATCTCAATCTCTTGCCTCATCGCGACATCCTGAAGCTCAGCGAGGGTAGCATAACTCTGGATGGACACGAATTGACGAATATCCGTCTTAAGCATGCTCAAGTACCGAGTCATCTAAGCCTGCTCTCAACCAGCAAATTCAGGGCAGAAAAGAGCCCTCTCAGTAAACGTTTTGGTGATCTCCATCACCGACTCGGTCGTCCGTATCAGGTCTAATTACTCCTAGGCCAACCTCTCCCTCTCCACCAAGGGAACGTATTTTGCACAGAACATCTCCGAGGACTGCTCCCAAGTAACAACAACTCTCTACTCAGAAGTGTAAGAACCAGTCACCAACCTCCACCAATCCTTCGCCCCTAACCGGAGAAGGTTCAGGGCGCACTTGACCTTCTGGTCAGAAGGGTAAGAACATGTGAAGAAACAACCCTCCACATTAGACTGTCACCTCATCGCTACAATCAGGTTCTTGACCCCATCAAACTCCGGGGGCATCGTATTGTCGAAGTCCTGATACTGAAAAGCTCTCTCCCCTCGAACCCCCACGGCAGCAACAACCGCGGTTGCTGTAGCAACAACAGCCTCATAGAGTGCAGTGTAGCGATCATCGAATCGCTCAATCACAACAGTCTTGATAGACCCAAAAAACTCCGAAATAGATCCTCTGACAGTTTGAGATTGGATTCACACGAGTGTTCCTCCAATTCACTTAAACCAAGGCTCTGTTATTTTAAAATCAACCCAATATCAAAAATTGTTTACAAATCATGTTTTTCAAAATATTTTCCAAATACCATAGTCTCCTAAAATCATAAGCCATAAACAAGAGGATGTATACGGTCACGCCTTCACCTTCCCGCGATCATCCGAAGTACCTGAAACCATAACCCAAAACTGTAAGCCAACACTTAAGGGTATTTTGGGATTTTGTCTGAGATTGGTCATTTGGTTGGAATAGGTGTTGATTAGAGCTGAGATTCGGAGTCGAGACCTCATCAACTTTTGTCCAGTTTTCAAGGTGAGTTTTCCTCACTGTACTCATGGGTCTAAGGCACCAAGGTTAGGCCATTAGATTAGATATCCTGCTTTGTGATAGAATGATATTGTGTTGTAGTGATCTGTTTGAACGGTATCCTGGTATATAGGATGATGCTATGCTTAGTGGTATGTACGATCTATCTGATTGACTGGTTATCTGTATGTTTATATGTTATGTATATGTCAACATGTTGTGTGTGGTTAGGTTGAGGCATACTAGTGTAGACTGAAGGCCAAGAGACCCAGGGCGTCCCGAATAGACTAAAGGCCCGAGAGGCGTACCGGTCAGGCCGAAGGCCCAGAGAACGATCCAAATAGATTGAGGGCCCGGTGAGGCGTTCCAGTCATGCTAAAGGTTTTGTGAGCGTTCCAGGTCATCTGTAGGCCGGTGCGGCGTTCCAGTCAGGCTGAAGGCTTTGTATGCATGTTGTTTGTTATTATGTTGTGTGGTGGTACTTTGGGGGAACTCACTAAGCGTTGGCTTACAGTTTTAGGTTATGTTTCAGGTACTTCAGATGACCACGGGAAGGCGAAGGCGTGACCGTACACATCCTCTTATTTATGACTTATGATTTTGGGAGACTCTGATGTTTTGGAAAAATGTTTGAAAACTATGATTTATAAACAATTTGTGAAATTGGGTTGTTTTAAAAAGTTTAATTTTATCATGATTTTTATGATGTTACACGGTCAGACTTGGAATTACAGGTTGGGGATGTGGTACTCTGTAAGGTGTCACCTTGGAAATGTGTCATTCGGTTCAGGAAGCGGGGCAAGCTGGGCCCCAGGTACATTGGTCCTTTCAGGGTTATTGCCCAGGTGGGCAGGTTGCTCATTGTCTAGAGCTACCCGAGGAGCTCATTCAGATTCACATCACTTTTCAAGTATCTCAGATGCAGAAGTGTTTGGTCGATGACTCTGTAGTGGTTCATATGGAGGATATATAGGTCGATGAGCACTTGAATTACATAGAGAGACCGATTGAGATTCTAGACAAGAAGACGAAGACCTTTCGAAATAAGGTTGTGGGTTTAGTGAAGGTGAAGTGGCACCACCAAAAAGGCTATGAGTTGACATGGGAGCCTGAGGATGAGATGAGATAGCACTACCTAGAGTTGTTTAGAGAGGCGGACTTCGAGGACGAAGTCTGATTCAAGTGGGAGAGAATTGTAACGCCCGGTTCCCAAGTAAATTCCTTAAATTCTAAGTGTTTAATCATTGTATATTTTGCCATTACACAGGGCATAATTTATGTACACGGGGCGTACCTTGTTGAGACTTGGAAACGGGGTTTTCCCCTTAGTACGTTGGGTGTACCTAGAGTACTCAGGACGTACTCAAGTCAGGAGCAAACCCTAAATTTTAGGGTTTGGACCCTATTTAAACACCTTATAACCTCAAGGCCTCTTCCATCACCAGCCTCTTTCGTCCCAAAGCAATTCCCTTGAAGCCCTAACTCTTTTTTAGAGAGTATTGAGCCTTTTGTGTGTCTTGGTGTGTTTTTGGTGAATCTTGAAGAAAGAAGAACCCTTTATAGAAGCACTTGTTGATTTGAAGCTTGTAGATCCAGACCTTGCTCACCTTGACCATTCTTCTGGAGGTATAAAGTCTCAATCTTGTTGATTCATCTCTTAGATCTAATTAGTTTAGGGTTTTGGCATATTTTGGTCCCTTGGGTTGATTCATGTGAGTATAAGTTACTCTAGAAGCTTAGGATAGTAGATTTTGATGTTTTTGAGGTCCTTAATGCATAAAAATAGCATCTTGATGGATTTAGCTCAACCATGGATGAGTTGATGGTCATAATATGAAGTTAGAATGTTAGAAATGGATTTTGGGTCTCTTTGAGCCTTACAAAGGCATCAAGTTGATGACATTATCAGTAGAGACATGTCTAAGAGCCAGATCTGTGATTTGGAAGTTTGGACTTTAAGTATTAAGTGCTTAATGTTAAATTTGGACATCAGGGGAGTATGATGAGTGTAACCTCTGGGCACGCTCAGTGTAACGTGACTCAACCTGTTTTCCTTTGATGTTGGGACTTGTACGTTGGGCGTATGGGGTGGTACACTTAGCGTACTAACCAAAAGGTCTTTTGGGCCATTGTTGGGATTTAAGTCTTTAGGGGTTTGGGCCATGGTTGGTTGGGTCCATTAAGAGAAGGGTAAAATGGTCTTTTACCTTTAGTATGTTAGATTATAATATGTACCATTTATTATGGGTTATACCCTGATTATTTATTAGGGTTAATTTTAGATATGTTCAGTGTGAGGAGCCGTGGTAGCAGCATCCCGAGGGTATGATTTGTCTATCTTCAGATTGAGGGGAATCTTCTCACTGTACTTGTAAGTTGAAGGCACCGATGCCGACCTGCTGGATTATATTATAGGATAATAGTAGTCTTCGTGACATTACTAATATCTTTGTATGTGCTTGCTATCTTTGCGACTCTTTCTAGTATGATTGTATGCTTAGCTGGAGGGGGTGAAATAGACCCGTACCGGTTGAAAGATATCAAAGGAGTCGGAAAGGACTTAGAGAGTCGGAAGGGACTTAGAGAGTCAGAAGGGACTTAAGGGTGAAATATACCCGTTATATGTTATGTATGATATGTATGTATGATGTATGTTATGTGGTATTTGGGGAACTCACTAAGCTTTGTGCTTACGGTTTAAGTTTATGTTTGAGATACTTCCGGTTCGAAAGGGAAGGGCCTAGCCTGGTCGCAGCGCATCCACCCGTGTTTTCGCATTTTTATGGTTTTGAGATTGTAATCTAGTAACTATTTTCGCATTGACATACTTTTGGATGGTTTGATATGAATACTTGATGGTTTCTGGTTGACTTAAAACTGAAATTTTTACTTATGATTTTTGGGATGTTACGCCATTTGCATAACTTCGAATCTTGTTTTTCATGAGCACGCTAAACATATTGAACTTGATTCTCATTATGTTCGAGAACAAGTTCAAGCTGACTTGATTGATTTGTCCTTCGTTTCTACTCATCGACAACGGCCATACATTTTCACCAAAAATCTCTAAGGATTTAAACATTCTGATGTAGTATCCAAGCTTGGTGTTTGTTCATGCCCACCAAATTTAGGGGGGTGTTAAACACGTCACATTTCTTTATACAAAGTTTGTTAGAGTTGGTTATGTGAAAAGGCATTTTAGTAATTTACCAGATAAAGTAGTTATTACAGTTAGTTCAATTACTTTATCTGCTTCTATAATCATGTATATATGGAGTTGATTTTGATTCATTTTCTAGTAATGAGAAATTGTTTGATTCATGTTCATTATTTTATTTATCGTTTTGATTCTTTAATCTTAACAATAAGATAAGGTGAAGTTCAATAAGTAATCCACAATCTCAATTTTTATTGCTTCAGAGTCTTTAATATAATTTTGTCTTGAAAAAATATTTGTTAGGTCATTTAAGAAAGTCGAAAAAAATAAATGAGTTACAAACTTCTACAATACCAACAAAAGTGATTATTGTTGTAAAGACTATGAGGACTTTTATGGTGATGAAAAATTTCCACAAATGATGCCTATTATATAGTGGTTTATATGTAGAGCTGTGAAAATATCAACGATGAGACGTGTAAAAGTGCAATATGCAAAGAAATTATTGCATGTAGATAAGATATCATAAAAGAAATAAAAAGAATAAAGAAATGAATTACCAATATTAAAGAAGAAATTAATGTTGCGAAAAAATTGACACCCGATACCAATATTGACACTTCTCGAAGGGTCCCAAGATCTTTAAAAGTAAATTCAAATTAGAAGTGGAAACTAAGCATTTGGGCGAGCTTAGTAATATCCTAACTTAAAGCACTGCGATGATATTATGAAGGAGATGAAAGGTCACCAAACGAGCGGTGAATGGACGGAGGTCCGGCGAAGGAAAACCAACAAGACAACCCAAAGGAACACTGGAACCACGAACTACTACGTGTCGGGGTTCCCTGATGGAACTAAAAAGGAGGAACCAAGAGAACCCTTTAGCAGATTCGGGAATGTGGTGGATATATACTTTGGTTTAAAGAAAGATTATCTCAAAAGGAATTTTTCTTTTGTCAGATATGTCGGAATTACAAACCCCAAAGATACAGAAACGAAGCTACAAGGAATCAAGTGCAGAAACATAAACTTGGAGGTAAGCATTTCAAAACACCAACGTAAAGATAATCAATACCACAACCATGAAACATGTCGCCAACCCACAATACGACAAAACATGCAATCCAATGCGTTTCACGGTGCCCCATCTCATTTCGAAGGAATGAGAGGTCAGAAATCATATGCTCAAGTTATAAACAACATGAACGGAAAGAAAACAAAGGAAGATGCCATGTTGATCACACTTAACCCCAACACGTCCATGAAGGGCTGGCTCAAGAAAGGTGTGCTAATTGGTGAAACACTTAGTCTGGACCACATGGCTAACCTCCACGCCTCTGGAATCATGAAGGAGGAAACAAAGTATCTTGGAGGTCTAAAACTCGCTATACGATTTAGATGGTCTGTAGACGCAAATGAGTACTTAAAGGACAAAAATAGATGGAACGACTGGTTCAAATGGCCGGTCAATGCAGATCAATATGATTCAGATTACGAAAGAGTCGCATGGCTAAAGATTATTGGTGTTCCTTTACCACTATGGGACGAAGACAATTTCTCAAAAATTGCTAGCAGATTTGGTAAGGTCATCACCCCATTCGATGGGATATTGGACAGGAGAGACTACTCCATGGGTAAGGTCGGAGTCCTCACGTCAACAAGAAGGTGGATCAATGAGGAAATCACGATCAAGTCTAATAGTCAATAATTCAAGATCGGTGTTGTGGAGTATACAGACGACTGGTCTCTGTTTAAACCAGCCCTGTTTGACAAAGTAGAAGAATCAAATGAGGAAGAAGATGACCCAGAAGGAATTACTGAAACATGGATGGAGGACGTGACAGATGAACTAGAAGAAGGAGATATCCGTCTAGACAAAACGGTGGCGATTGGAGGGCGACCGAATGACAACCGCACTTCGGCGAATGACAACCGCACTCCGGCGGTCGTAGTACCACCGTCAAAAACACCGGTAACTGGGGAGATCGGATACGAAGAGTCACCAATTAATGCACCGATGGGAGAAATTCACGAGTCAACACATGATGGCGTATTAACCAGTCAAAATACAGGTGTGTCGCTTGATATCCCCAACGAGGTTACTAAGGCACAACAAGAGCCACCTGTACCTATTATGGATCACACCTCCACAATTGGGCCACATATAAACCATATTCCTGGTACAGTGGAGAATTTAGTCCCACTTGGATGCTTTGGGCAATTCCCAAATAATACAACCTTATTCTTATTCAAATCTCCTCAAGCCCAAAATACTGAATGCCATTCCAAAGGTACAAACAGCGGAGGACCTAAACTCAAAAAAAGGAAAAGAGATAAATCGACTGTTAAATCCTCTCACCCCATTCACTCGAACCAAACATATAATTCAAATTTATTCATCCGCGTGCTTCAATCGGAGATGTACGATGTTCCAAATGTCAATTTAGATCTACACATGAACCTTACGAATGATGAAGGCACGAATATTCCAGGGATCTCTAAGGAAACATCTCAGACGACATGAATTATGGAAACGACTACGATTCGAGTACAGATTGGTTTCCAAATTGACGTTGGTGACCCTTCACTAGCAGAATCAGAGGCTGATATCGGTGAGAACCCGAGTGATCAATGAACTGCATGACACTCAATGTTAGGGGCATTAGAGATGATGCCAAAGTTAACTGGGTGAGGAGACTGGAACATTTACACAATACAAACTTCATGGGGATACAGGAAACAAATAACTGAGTTTGAAAGAATTGACATACAGGGATGCTGGGGATCTCAAGACTTCGATTATGAAGGGGTAAACTCAACTGGTAGATCAGGCGGTCTATTATTAATATGGAATAAAGGTTGTTTAATCAAAAAGGAGATTCTCAAATCTAGACATTACATCATAATCATAGGAAAATGGATTGGAATCGATGGGGATACAGTACTTGCAAACATATATGGGCCACACAACCTTGGAGATCAAAAAGAATTATGGCAGGAGTTATTAGCAATTAAAAGTGTAAAACTAGGTAACTGGACTCTGTTTGGTGACTTCAATGTAGTTCGCAGAGCAGAAGAAAGATACAACTCACACTTCTTCCCATCAAGTGCTTTCTACTTTAATGAATTCATTCAGTTGTCAGATTTACAAGACTTCAGGATGGGAGGCGAAACTTATACATACATGACAAGGGTCGGTGCAAAATTGAGCAAGGTCGACAGATTTTTGGCCTGTCCAAACTTCCTTTCCGCATTTCCATCATTAGTTGTCACAGCACAGCCTCGATAATTGTCTTATCATTGTCCAGACACCCTAATCACCACATTTGCAGATTACGGCCCTACACCTTTCAAACTATTCAGCTCGTGGTTACTAAAAGATGGTTTTGACGACATTGTAAAGAAAGCATGGGAGGATTTAGAGGTTACGACAATCCAGATGCGTATCTTGCTGCAAAAATTAGATTTTTAAAAAACGCAATTAAAAGCTGGAAGAAGGAATTTGATGAGGTGACTAATCATGAGTTATTCAAAATCAAATCAGAGGTGGTACTCATCGAAAAGGCAGCCGAGTCAAGACCATTAACCGATCTCGAACTAGAAACTAGGAACCTTGGCCTACAAAAATTACTGGAATTAGAAAAATTAGCCGTGCTTGACTTGAAACAAAAGGCCAAGGTGAAATGGAATATGGAAGGCGATGAAAACTCAAAATTTTTTCACGGATACATCAACAGTAAGAATAAGAAGAATAGAATCAACGGGCTAATGATAAATGGGAAATGGAGCTCAGATGCATCCGAAGTCAAGTTAGAGGCTCTTCATTTTTTCAAAAACAAGTTCACAGAGACCAGGGCTTCGAGACCCAAACTACTCAGTCCCTACTTCAAATCCTTATCCACGATGTAGGCGATCAAACTTGAAGCTCCATTTAGTCTTAAGGAGCTAAAGGAAGCGGTATGGGCTTGCGGAAGCGAAAAGGCACCGGGACCTGATGGCCTAACTTTCAAATTCTTAAAAACTTACTGGGAGATAATTAAAGGAGATATGATGAACTTTGTTTTGCATTTTGACAAATTTGGGACTTTTGCAAGAGGCTACAATTCATCGTTCATATCCCTTGTTCCTAAAGTTAAAGATCCAACCGACCTCACTGATTACCGACCCATTAGCCTTATTGGTTGCATGTATAAAATCATATCAAAAATCTTGGCCATACGAATCAAATCTGTTATTTGGGACCTTATTGGAGATGTACAATCAGCTTATGTGGAAGGTAGAAGCATACTTGATGGCCCACTAGTGATAAACGAGCTCCTTTCATGGTCAAAGGCGAAGAAGAAGTAGGTATTGATGTTTAAGGTTGACTTTAACAAAGCATTCGACTCTATCAACTGGGAATACCTCGATTCAGTGCTCTCTCAGATGGGCTTTGGTAGTAAATGGAGACAATGAGTACGTGGTTGTCTCAAGTCATCTCGAGCCTCGGTACTTATTAATGGTTCCCCATCGGAAGAATTTGAAATCACAAAAGGTGTTCGTCAAGGGGATCCCCTTTCACCCTTCCTCTTTATTATAGCCATGGAAGGCCTCAACATAGCTATGGAGGCGGTGAGGGATAAAGGCATTTTCAAAGGCATCCAAATTTCGAACCATGACCCAACCCTATCACACCTGTTCTATGCGGATGATGCTTTATTCGTGGGAGAATGGTCAAGAACTAATCTGAAAAACTTAGCCAGCATTTTAAAATGCTTCAATGCATCATCAGGTCTTAAAGTAAATTTTCACAAATCAAAGGTTTGCGGTATCGGGGCTTCAGTTAGAGAGACTAAGAACTGGGCTAACATCCTTAGGTTTGAAGCGGGTTCACTTCCATTCAACTACCTTGGTGTCCCAGTTGGAGCAAATATGAATCTAATAAAAAACTGGAAACCAATCATAGACAATTCAGCTCCAAGCTATCCTCCTGGAAATCAAAAACACTCTCATTTGGTTGCAGATTGACACTAATCACTTCGGTATTAGGGAACCTCCCTACCTACTTTCTCTCCCTCTTTAAAGCACCAGTGGCTATAATGGAAAAACTAGAACAAATTAGACGAAGATTCCTATGGGGCGGTGACGAAAGCAACAAAAAAATTCACTGGGTGTCTTGGGACAAAGTTGTTGCCCATAAAGCTGAAGGTGGTTTGGGTGTAGGAACTATTCGTACATTGAACACAAACCTATTAGTCAAGTGGTGGTGGCGTTTAAAAGTTGAAAAAGACTCGCTTTGGGCGAAAGTCATAAGAGGAATCCATAACCTAACCAATAAACCCCATGATTATTTGTCAAATAAGAAAACCACTGAAGTGTGGAATAACATTGCAGAGTGCAAAAAAGAAATCAAGAAATTCGGACTTGAAATTGATGACGTGTTCAAACTACAGGTAAAATCTGGCGATAACACCTTATTCTGGCATGACAAATGGTTAGGACCAGTAACACTCGGCGAAAAATATCCATCTCTACTTGCACTTGAATCCAGGAAGAGATGCAATGTGGCTGAAAGAATTGTAGATGGAAACTTTGAGGGGCATTGGAAATCTCGAGTGGATGATGGAAGCGAATCAAACATCATTGTCAATCTCAAATGAGACTTATCAGTGGTGCAATTGGTACCTGGTGATGACTAATGGAGATACACAATTGATACTAGTGGTCCTTTCACTGTAAGTACGTTAAGAAAGAAACTTGATCAGCTCCTTTACCCCAATCGCGCAACATCAGACTTTAGATGGAATAAGGTATCCCCAGTCAAAGTTAATTGTTTTATATGGCGAGCCCTTCAAAAGAAAATTCCATCTGCGGTGGCCTTAAGAGCTAGAGGGATTGACATTGATCATGATAATTGTGGAGCTTGTAATAACGGTACTGAATGTTCGGACCACATTCTCATCTCGTCCCCTTTTGCATACGAGGTCAGGAAGCAAATATTCACATGGTGTGGTATCCAACAAGAGAATTTCTCATCTGTGGAGGAAGTACTCAATTTTGCAGCAAATTAGGGTAGTTGCCTCACAAAATGGAAGAGATTCATCACCATTTGTCACGGGTTAATCTGGAACTTGTGGAAATATCAGAATGATCGGGTGTTCAACGGGGTCTTTCTTTCTCCAACAAACAGTTCAGGGGCAATCAAGTCATTGGTTTTCTTTTGGACAAAATGCAGGGGCAAAGGTGGATTATCTGATTGGAAAGACTGGGTCTATTCTCCATTTCACTCTTAATATTATTGTATCTCATTTCCTGTAGTTGTCTTTTCCTTTTGCTTGTTTCCTGTTTGTTCCTTTTGTTTGTTTTCCTGTTATGCTCTCCTTCCCTCGCTAGTTTCTTGCTAGCCGGGGGATTTTTTTTTAATACAAATTGCCATTTCCAAAAAAAAAAAATAGTAATATCATTAAAAATGTTTAAAACAATGTTAAAAATATTATTTCATTTGTTTATAAATGGCTAATAAGCTTTGGACGAACTTAGTAATAATGTAAGGGGTTATTAGACAACCTCTGGATAATTAAGATCTTAATCATTTAGATGCATGGATGATTTAAAGGTTCTTAATGAATTTTACTATGAATAAAATCATATTGTTTGCTAACCTTGGTAAATTGTTGTGTTTAATGATGAAAATTTACCATTTTACTATGCTTTTAGAATTACACAACATCAAATCCAATTTAAAAGGAGCAAATATGATACAAATTATAAATAATTACAAAAATGAGGTTCTTCCGTTGGAATTGCATAACAACATCAAACCCAACTTGTTCAATAAACTTTCTATTAAACTAATACCATATGAGCATAAAGGATTGAAAGAACTCAAACCAGTAAAGTGAGACCTAATATTTTTTTCTTATATTTCATCGATTTCAAATGAAATACAACAATCCTCAGTTACAAGGCATCTTAAACTACAATCTGACAAAGAATACATGAAACATGAAATTAATATTCAATTGAAGAGAAATACAAGAAACATTAAACTACAATATCAATGAGGTTAAACTCACTTTGGCTTTATCAACCATCTTCAAGTTTGAAAGTCACTTTAATTTCAAGTTCTAACATTTTTGTTTTTTTTGGTGAGAGAGAGAGAGAGAGAGAGATGTTAATGATGGAACGTTTATTTTAGGGGCGTCGATGGTTCTGAGGGTGACGAGTGGTCGATTTTGTAAGGCGGTGATGAGAGCTTGGGAGGGGATGTCAATCGGCAATAAACAAGACGTCGGTGGAATGGCAAATATGATTTTTTTTTTGGTAGTTCAGACTCATTTTCATACCTAATGATTAAAAGCTTCTAGCCCCTCCATCTTACTCTATAAGACATGATTGTTTTCCATAATATTAAACAATCTAAATGCCTTTCAAACTGACTTTATAGGTCATAATTCGTTTTCAGAGTTTTATACAGAAAAATCCTATTATTTTGGGAAAAGTTTTAATAAAGTCCTAAAAGTTTTTTTTTTAATAGAAAAGTCACGATTATTTAACATTTTGCCTAAATTAACAAAAAAGTTATTTTTTTATATTTGAATAGGAAATGACAGATTATGTGATTTTCTCAAAATAATGAGACTTTTCTGTTAAAAAAAAAACTTTAGGACTTTATCAAATAATTTCCTAAAAATAATAAGACTTTTCCGCATAAAACCTTATAACTTCTTTTTAACCCTATAACTTCTTTTTCATATACATTTTCACTTAAGTGAGTGGTTAAGAGTAGAGGTGGCAAACGGGCCGTGTCGTGTCGGGTTCGTGTCGTGTCGAAACTTAAACAGGTTGGAAATACGTGACACAGACACGACCTGTTTATTAAACGGGTCAAAAATTGTTGACCTGAACTCGACACGTATAAAACACTCTAACCCGACATGATCTGTTTAACCCGCAAAACATGTTTAACCCATGTAACCCGTTTAACCTGTTTTACCCGTTTAACCTGTTTTACCCGTTTAAAGAATAAATTTTTCTAAATTTTACATCAGGAAAGTAAACAACCAAATCAGTAGATCAAAACTTAAAGTTCAAAAGTTATAGCATTAAACATTCAAAGTATTAAGAGAAGTTTACAACCCAAAATAATAGCAAGTTTCCAAAACATCAAACATCCACAACATTAAAAAAAAATACAAGTAATACGAGAATTTAACTTCAAATCTTTAACCTAAACCGGATTGTTGAGTTTGAATACTAGGAGTACTTGGTACATCACTTTCATCTTCATTCACATCGCCAATCTTCATTGTTAAAGTCTGTTTGCATAACGCCTCAATATCTGGATGCATTGAACCTACAAAATACAAAAAATGATATTAGCATTACTTTCATATTAAATGCAGTTTTTTTTATAAATGCAGTTTTTATAAATGCATAATTTTAAATGCAGTTTTTTTGTAAATGCAAAATTTTAACTCTTTAAAAAATGCAGATTTTACTCTTAATATTTGTTTAAATGCAGTTTTTTTTGTGAATACAGAATTTTATAAATGCAGATTTTAGCTTCACTAAAAACCCAATCTCTAAGACAAACCAATGCTTCAGCAACATTTGCCTTCAATGAACTACGATAGGCATCAAGAACTCTTCCTCCAATACTGAAAACAGATTCGGAAGCAACAGTAGATATTGGGATGGCCAAAATATCTCTAGCCATTTGAGAAACAATGGGATACCGTCCTTGAAGATGTTTCCAATACTCCAAAACATTCAAATCACCCGTGCGAGGTAATTTTGGCTCCTCTAGGTAAGATTGCAGCTCAGATTTACCACCAGTAGTAAATTCACAGCTAAAGAAATCATCAAAATCCTAACAAAAAATGTAGAAGTTAGGAAAATACAAAAAAAAATCATAAAATAAGATAGGAGCAAATTAATACCGTCATATATGTGTCTGACTTATCATTGGCAACACCAGAATGAGATGAGCTTTCATGAGTCTTGGTTGTAGCACTAACATCCGTATACTCATCAAACAAGGAAAATAATTTTTTCTTAAACAAATCCAACTCAACATCAAAAGATGAACCATATATCTTTTTGAAAGCCCATTCAATAAAATGAAACTTGTAACGGGGATAAAAAACAATGGCAATGCCCATAATAGTGCTAAACTCACACCAATACTTGTCAAACTTCAAATGCATATTTTTAGCCATGTTCTTTACAAAAGTATCACCATTTTCCTCCTCTTCTTGCAAACGCAATCTTATCTTTAAAACATTAGGAAAATAAAGATTGGAAGTTGGATATTTAGAACCTGAAAAAGCTAAAGTCACCTCATGGAAAACTTGCAAAAAGTTGCAAATTTTTTCAATCCTGCTCCACTCTTCGAAGCTTAGGCAATGAACATAGTTTGCATCAGTCTTTGCCAAATGAAGAATTGCTTTTTTGTGATATAATGCACTATCTAACATATGATACGTAGAATTCCAACGAGTTGGAACATCTTGCCTTAGCCCTCTTGTGGACTCAAGGCCAACATATTGAACAGAACGCAAAAATGATTTTTTTCGAGCTTGAGAACCTTTGCAATACTTAACAGTATCTCTCATCTTAGCGATAGCTCCATCTAATTCTTTTAAGCCATCTTGTACAATCAAATTAAGGATGTGAGCACAACAACGAACATGAAAATAATCACCATCAGACATCAAATTTAAATCAAACTTCAGTGCATTAGCCATAGAATCATTTGCAGAGGCATTATCTAAGGTTATGGAAACTATTTTCTTATCAATTCCCCACTGTTTTAACAAACCACAAACTCTTTCTGCTAAGGAAGCACCATTATGGGGAGGGGGCATAGAAGTAAAAGCTAAAATTCGTTTTTGCAAGCACCAATTTTGATCAAAATTGTGAGCAGTCAATGAAATATACCCATCAGTTGTTACAGAAGTCCAACAATCTGATGTTAATGCTATTCTACCAGGAACAAGTTGCAACAAATCATAGAGCTTTGATTTCTCAATTGAATACATGTTGAATATTTCTTTTTTTATGGTATTTCTGCAAAATGTTTTAACTTCTGGATATAAGTAAGCAAAACATTTCCTAATACCTTCATATTCTACAAATTGAAAAGGAAGATTATGTCTAGCAATAGCAACAACAACCAACTCACGAAATTCATCAGCTTTAAAAGTAGGAGATCTAGTACCCAAAGACCCTTTCAAATTAGATTGTATAAGAAGCTGTCCAACATCTTTATAACTTTTGTGTTTCAAATCACAAGCCCTTTTATGCCTAAGTAGATTCCCTGTCCCGTGACTACTTTCAGCTATATACGTAGTCCCACATTTCTTGCATTTGCACAACATATTTCCCTTACTATCTGACTCTTTAAGTATTTCAATGGATTTCCAAACACGAGAAGTAAGCTTACGTTTTCGTTTGACAGGTGGGTTACCAGACAGATTCGGTTTATGCATATTCTGATTAGAAATTGGTGGTGCACTACCAACCTCCTCTTCCATCTCATCTCCTATTTCGTCATCAGAAACATCGATTTCATCACCAGACAAGTTGATTGGTTCATCCATGATTAACTTAACTGCAACAAAAAAAAAACAGAACACATAAGAATAAAACCCAAGAATGATGTAAACAAGGAACGATTGATATGTGGGAGGAAGTAAACCGATAGTTGTTGCGACTCACAAGGATCGATTGAACGAACGACGTAAGAGGCAAAGAAAGACGAGAATCGAGAGCGTTTTCGTGGTTTTGTGGAGTGTGGAGTGTGTTCTGTGGTCACTGGTGTGCGGCTGGAAGGAAACTAGGAAAGAAATTAGGTCATCACCTAATTAGGTCAAAAAATCTCTTTATTAGCCCAATACCCTTTGAACACAATTACAGCCCGATATGTTTCATTAGCCCAATACAATCTATATATATATATATATATATATATATATATATATATATATATATATATATATATATATATATATATATATAAACGGGTTATTTTCGTGTCGTTTTCGAGTTGAAAATCTTAACCCTAACCTTACCCGTTTAATATTCGTGTCGTGTCGTGTCAACCCATTTAATTAAACGTGTCGAAATCTCTAACCCAAACCCATTTATTTCGTGTCGATTTCAGGTCGAGTTTCGGGTCGTGTCAATTTTTGCCACCTCTAGTTAAGAGGCTTACATATCGGTCCCTAACTTTTTTTAGAGTGGATGGAAACATGTCATATTGGGTTGATCCATGAACAAGTTTTATCATCTTTATTAAATTTTATAAATAAATATTAGTTAATTGTACAAGACTTATATGATTATAGTAATAATTTAATTGATTTTTATCTGACCATTCATGAGATTGTATCAATATGCATACATTTAAGACAACTTATAATTAATTTTATACGTCCTTTTACAGACATTTTAGTTCTAATTTTAACACAGTATAAAAATAACATAGACCAAAATATTCATAGATAAGTCAAAATTACAGAAAGGGTTAAAAAAAACCACAACGACAAGGAAATTATGCCTAACGAAGTTGGTAAAGGACAAAAAAAGGCACCGCAGGAACAAGAAGAAGATATGATATCACTTGCAAATTTATTCAGCTTTTTCCCTTTCTTTTATATTTTTCTTCCCTTTGCTTTCCCCCCAATTTTCTCTCTCTAATCTGCGTGTGTGTGCGCACCAGGCTCGGCCGAGATCGGATAATTTTTCGCCCAATACTTCACATCTTCGTCTTGGATCAAGACAGGTTCGGTATTTTTTTATTGACCTGATTTCCTCATCATTTCATATCGTGGTATCTAGATGCAATCAGCCTATCAATATACGTATACCTGTTTCTTCTTCTCTACTTGCAGGATTTTTGTATGTATGTAAGGACTTGGTTTTATGAATTTAATTTCTTCGTTTTGGTGGTTTTTGTTTGACATTTTATTATAACTAGAGGGAATTCTAGGGTTTCACGGTTACTGTTTGACTTTTCTTATTGGATCCACAATCACATTTGTACTAGATGTTACGTTGTTTGACTGCTTTCCAAACATTTTATTCTTAGTCCCCGATTGAATTTTGAATTCCATTCACTTAGTTCGATCACTTTGAAATTGATCCATAGAGGTTAGCACTTAGCAGGTGCTAAACTTCGCTTCCATTTTTCTTTCCGGTTATAAAGGGAAAGTAGATTGGTGATTTTTTTTTATTGCTGTTTCCTTGAATATATATCTATTTACAAAGAAGAATAGGAGTTGCTCGATTTTATATTAATCACAAGTATCATCACTGCATCTCTCCACATTGGATATGATTTGAGTTGGTATAGCTTCTAGTAATGTGATCACAGCATCAGAAGATAATCGCTTAGAAAATCATATTGTTTGCTAAAACCATGAGTGGTTCCTTTTTGCTGTGTGAGTTGCTAATTCTGTAACATTCTGATATGCAGGTAACTTATATTGAGATCTGATCCAGGAAATACTTTGAAGAGATCCTTGGGGAGGTGTACAAACTAAGTTATAGTTTGTGGGCTTCTCCATAATTCTGCATAGTGAGCAGTTGAGTGGGCAAGGGAGGACATGTATATTTTTATCTCATGAAATCCTGGAACTTTTGTTGCCCTGATGAAATTTACATTGTATCCTATGGGTGTGGGGTATTTATCAATATCAGCAGTCTGTACAGTGTTGAGCTTTATAGGCCTCCAATATTGGACAGAAGTTTCTTATATGAAACTAAAGTCAGATGGTTTGATGGGTGAAAATCTTCTCCACCCTGGTGTTGCCAACCGTGTATTGGAACTGTTGTTGAGTTCTTATACCACAGTTGCATTGGTGGTCAATTTTGTCCTCAACATTTTTATACTCATCATCCTCTCTCTTAAGGTATTCAACTTTCCTAAATCTTTACAATGATACTGTATACTTGATACTTTTTTGATGATATATCTGTTCATGCAGACAATATTTTTTGATGAGCTGCATGCAACTGAATCTCGGAAAATGGTGGAGAGACTAGTTAATTATGTTATATACAAGGGAACATTTCTTCCATTGGTAGTACCACCAACATTAGTTAGAGCAGGATTGTGGTCAACATGGTTGACTGTATTATGCTCTTTGAAGGTACTATTACTATTACCTCACATGGTTTTGGAGTATAGATATGAAGAAAATTTGGATATATATATATTTTTTTTCATTTTGTGCAGATGTTTCAAGCTCTAGCTCGGGATCGGCTTGAACGGTTGAATGCATCTCCTTCTGCAACTCCATGGACTTACTTCCGTGTATATTGTGTTTTATTGCTGGTTGTCATTGTCGATGCAGTCTGGTACAATTTCTACTATTTCATAAATCTCAACAACTTCCGTATTCATACTTACTTCTCTCTCTCTCTCTCTCTCTCTCTCTCTCCTATATTCTTTGCTGGTATTTGCAGGATAAGGACATGTCTACTGATCTACCAAACAATACCATCATCTATGTTTTTGTTATTATTCTTTGAGCCTCTGAGTATTGCTTTCGAAACACTACAGGTACACACACACATGCTGACCTATGTATTTATATATTTTTATTTTTTCATAATGTTTTTGGTTTTAGGCGATTTTGGTTCATGGGTTTCAACTGGTTGATATATGGGTTCACCACTCAGCAGGCAACACCACAAATTCCAAAATATCAAAGCTTTTAGATATGTCCGCAGCAGGCAAGAGCAATTGCAAGACCCTCTGATTTTTATCGTTCTGTTCTGCTGATTCACATTGACTTGTTAAATATCTCATGGGAATGGATCTAAATTATCTACTATGTGTGCAGGTTCATTGTGGGAGTGGAAGAGTGTTATATTAAGGAATGTAGGGTTTTTCCTAGATATTATGACTTTGTTAATGGCTCTGGGTCATTATGTACAAATATGGCGCCTTCATGGCATGACATTCCATCTTGTTGATGCAATGCTTTTCTTAAATATACGTGTAAGTTTTTTTTAATACAAACGAAAAAATAGCATCATGCTCTACTTTTCCTTACAAGAATCTATTTTCATTTGTGATATGCAGGCGTTGGTAAGTGCAGTCGCAAAGCGTACGAGAGGTTTTATTAAGTTAAGAATCGCTTTGGGAACCCTTCATGGGGCTCTCCCTGATGCAACATCTGAAGAGATACAAGCTTATGATGATGAATGTGCCATTTGCCGGGTAATTAATTTTTTTTTCTTAAAAAAAAAATATATTTTTTGTCAGTTTTCCTATGTATAAAATTATGGGTGTGTTATATTCTCAGGAACCAATGGCCAAGGCTAAGAAGCTCTCCTGTAACCATCTTTTCCATCTTTCCTGCCTTAGATCTTGGTACAATTCCATATCATATTTTTTAATTTTTATTTCCATTAAAGTTGATATGATTGGTGATGTGGCATGTGCGACGGACGACAGGTTGGACCAAGGGCTGAGCGACAACTATTCATGCCCCACGTGTCGAAAACCCCTGTTTGTTGGCCGTGGCACACCTGACGGAGGAAACAACAACAGTAACAGTAACAGTAACAACAGTGTAGGTGTAGGGAATAATTCTGTAGATGTTTCAGGAGATGAACAGCTTGCACGTCAGTTAAGCCGTCAGCAAAGTGTTCCTGGTCCCACACTAGTTCCAAATCAACTTCAGAACCCTTTAGATCATCATGATGATTGGAGGTGCTTTATCTCTCTTTCTCTTTTTCTTTTTCATCTACAGTTTTGGAAGAATAACCTTTTGCTTTTTTTTTTGGTGGGGAATAGGAGGTTAGAGGCGGATTCAGGTTGGTTGGGATTTGATGGGGGAGCGGGTCCATCGAGATCGGTGGGTTTAGGAAGAGTCCAGATGATGATGAGACACCTGGCAGCGGTCGGTGAAACGTATGCCCAAACTTCCCTTGAAGATGCTACTTGGAACCTGTGGCCTGTAAATCCCTCTCAGGCCAGCACATCTACATCTACTTCTTCTTCAAACAATCCAAATCCTTCCACAAGTACCATAAGACACCGAGGAGGACACACTACTGGGGGTGGGGGTGGGTCCCTCATCAGAACCACGCCACCTCCACCTGTCCCGGATGTTGACTTGTCAAACATAATCGCCATGGCTGAAACCGTTCGTGAAGTCCTTCCCCATGTCCCTGATGAATTAATATTACGGGTACCTATCCTCTCTCTCTCTCTCTCTCAATTCCTTTTTATTTATTTATTTATTTGAATTTTGACATGGACATGAACATGTTGTAGAACATATGTTACACAAGTCGGTGAATTCATTGTTTTAAATTTGTGCAGGATTTGCAGCGAACAAATTCGGTGTCTGTTACTGTGAATAATCTTCTTCAAATGTGAATCTTTTTTTTTTTATTTTATTTAATTTTATGAAAGAAGACATATATTCTGTACCAATAATGATAAAAAAGAAAGGCAAGGGTGGTGGTCTGGTCATTGGTCATTGGTCATTGGAGGGAGGTTGTGTGCTGACGTCAGCCACCCACCCACACACAGTGTCCTGTAAGATCTGAGAGCTATAGTTTTTTTGTATATAGGAAAAAATAAGTTAGACAAAGATGTTGATCAAACTATAGCCCCCCCTCCCTCCACCTGATTGAGCTTTTAGGGAAAATTGAAAAACAAATTTGTTGTATGTATGATTGATTGAGATTATGTATGTGACTGATTAACTGGTTTGCGTTTCTTGTTTTGTAATAATAATTAATTTAATTTAATTTAATTTAATGAAAGGGTTCTATTATGTGGGACAGGGATAGGGACAGTGTAGGTGGTGAAGTGAGATCCCGTTGCTTTTATTGGGGTCTAGTGTTTATATTTGGGATTTGATAATAAGTAGGAAAATGGAGTGAAGGGAAAGGACAGGAGATTTAAAAGTAAGGGAAAGTTGTTTATTTGTGGATTATTGATGAGTATGTATGTATGTACACATGGGTGAAATCGATATGCGGGTCATTGTCGCAGTGTTAACGACAGTGGCCAGTCCAAAATTTTATTTTGGAATAGTTTTATTTTTGTTGGTGTTGGAACTTGGAAGGAAGAGGTAACGTAATTCCAGGCTCTGATTGAATATTGATTTAGCTCTTCTATTGTATGGAACCGGGTACGGGTACGGTACCATATCACCTGGCCTCCACTACCCGACAAAACATCACCACTTAAACAAGGCTCTCTTGTTTAAGGTATTTCTGAATAGGAGGTTATATAAGCCAACACTATACGCTTAATTTATTTTTTGTATTTGATTCACTGTTGAAATTGTTTAAAATGTACGGATAATATTAGTGGATTTTGTCGGTTTTCGGTGTCTTTTCAATCTAGAAATGAGTTTTCCGGTCATCTTTTCTGGCCACCTTTAGATTTCCGGCCATTTTGTTCCAAAATTCACGAAACAAAAACCCTTGAAATCTGAAAATCATGTTCTTGAAAACTAGAAACAAAACCCTTGAAATCGAAATCGTTTGAAAGGGATAAACACATTCCTAAAATTGAATTCGCTTTTTCAAAATCGTTTGAAGGGCTTTCTAGAAATCTAAAATCGTTCCTGAACCTAGAAAAAGAATGATTTTTGAATCGTGTTTGCATCATATTTCGATTTTGAGTTTGACAAACCCTAGGATTGTTTTGCATCGGATTTTGAATATGAAAATCCTGAACCCACGGGGAACTGACAAAGAACATGGAAACTGAAATCAACTCTAAAATATGATGCAAAATGGCTCGAATTTTAACCTGCAAATGGGCTCTAAAATCGGATTTTGAGTTCGAGTTTGAACCTACAAATCTGCAAATCTCTTTAAAATCATATTTTAAATTCGAGTTTGAATCTACAAATCAACTCTAAAATTTAGGGTTTGTTGAAAGCCCTCGAGTGCTTGTTCTTGACATCTAGTTCTGAATACTCCTTTCATCGATTCATTTGCAGATTTGTGTGTAGCCTTTTTAAAATGACGATTTTAACACATGTTCATACCATTCACGTTTGATATGTTTGGTTTCCTCGCGCCATATGCGGTGGAGCTTCTTCATAGAGTACAATGGACCATGCATAGCAACATTATGTCCCCTAGATCTATAGATATAGTCTTCAAAAGAATTGTTTTTATCATACAAAAGGTTTAGCAGCGCAACTTGTTGCTCTGTCTTCTCACTCTTTGTATTGTGATAATTAAGTTACTTTAAAAAATTCCAAGATTGTCTTTTGAAATGAAATGACGAACATAGATTGGTTTTAGTTGTGTGTGTATTTACTTTCACAGCCCCCAACTTTTAAACTGAATTACAAGTTGTGTGTTTGATGATGGATCGATTTCTAGGTTGGGTCAAAAGATGAAAAGGGTGTGGCTTGTAGGAAAATTCAAAGTTGGCCGGAGAAGATAACTGGAAAATTCAAAGATTGCTAGAAAACTCCTGTTTGACCGGAAAAGATATTGGATACCAGCAAAACCCACTATTACCGATCATATTGTTATTGGATAATACCGAACACAAAATAAATTTAATGACTGAACATGTACAAAACATAAAATTGGTTACAATTACAAATAGGCGTGGATTCTCAAAAGTAAAGATAGAAATGGAAAAATAATATTAATTTTCATCTCCGATTCTAGCTAAAAAACGTGCTAAAACAATCACAAAATGCCTAAATAAACTCCATTTCCTTCTAGTTGCCGTTTTTTTTACAATAAAAGAGAGAAATTTATTTGTTTAGTCTTCCAAATCTCCAATAGTAAGAGAAGGAAATTAAGGAAACTGTTTTATAAAACTATATTAACTAAAAAAAAAACTTTTTCCAATATAATATATATGTGTATAAGGCTGATGGGTGTGGTAGAGTTTTCACCGGCGGCATGCTGAGTTGGCTGCATTTACCAACGGTAAACACCGCCCCTCAACCTATTTTTTTGTCGGTGGTAAAGTTCAACGGTGAACTCTCTCTCTCTCTCTCTCTCTCTCTCTCTCTCTCTCCATTTAACGTTGAAAATTTTCTCTTTTTCTTCATTTTTTACCGGCTACAAACTTCTAACACCACACCCTAATACAAAATTCTTCATAGGGTCAATATCTATATGTGTGAACGCTTTCTGGGTTTTATTGGAAATTAATTATATTTTTTTAGTAGATATTATTAAAAAATATCGTTTGATCTGTTTGAATGATTACCATATAATTTTTTAAACACAAACTGAGATTTGATTTAATATCATATAATAAAGTGAAGAATCAAAAGAAATTGAACAAACAATTATAATATTCGCGAAATTTGTTCAAACATCACAAAAGAATTGGAACCAACAATTATAACATTCGCGAAATTTGATAAAACATCACATGAATATGATTTATTTATTTATTTTAAAAAAAATGACGTCGCTTTATATTGCTATATGTTGTTAATACGAAATTTAAGGGCCATTTTTATTTTCTGCACAGGGCCTTCAAAATCAACGGACCGACCCTGGTTGTGATGTGATTCCATCCGGTTTTAAATCTGTTTACATGCCTACAAAACAAAGATTGAAATTTTATATAGAATTTTAAAATACCCATAAGTGTTAGTTGGTTAACATGTGGTCAAAGTGGGAGTTATAAAATTGAGTCCTTGAATTGCGAGAGTAATATTTAAGTTTGTGTTTTCATTTTCTCGTTGGGTTTCGTTGCTCGTGAATGGTGATGGTAAAACCGGCAACAAAACACGGAGCCACCGTAATTTCTTGAAACAACTCTTTCACTGTGTCACAAGATTAATAATATTTACTTACTTTATTATTAAAAAAGGACGAGAGAAATATGCATTTGTTAAGATACCAGTAATTTAAACCACCTTATGTTGGTGTTTTTTCTTTTCAATAGTTTAAATATTTATAGAATGACCATATATATATATATAGATATATATATATATATATATATATATATATATATATATATATATATATATATATAGATATATATATATATGTTTCCGCTTTATACAATCTCCCTATTCTAATTCTAATAAATGAATAAGTTTATTTTTTTTATTGACAAGTATCACAATATTAGAAATCCTCATTAATATTATATGCCACATGTCAAACTATTAGTTCTCCATTTTAAATTTTAAAATTTAAAATTTTCATTCTAATTAAATTAAATTAACAATTGATTCTTCATTTTAAATTTCAAATTTTAAATTTCACACTCTAATTACATTAAATTAATAATATTAGAATAAAAAATAAAATAAAATTAATATATATTATAAGGTGATATAATTTCATGTATTTATTTAAATCAACGATTATAATTTTATATAACTAAAAAAATATCCCTTAATTAATAATTTATTTGAAATAATTGATTAATAATTTTGAGTTTTTACTATGAAAGTTTAATTAATTTTATAACCGTGGTTCTCACGGGTTATAAACTAGTAGAGTAATATATTAGAGAAACATCTTATCATGTTTTATTTCTAATCAGAATATAAAACATCATAACAGACGTATATTAAGTTAGAATTGGCTGTTATACAACGTTAATTTTGGTCCACATAATAGAAGGATCAATAGTATATTGCTAAAGATGTTTAATTTTTGTTTTTGGTCGTCACAACTTCAACCTAACCCAAAAATGTATACATATCATAAGAATAATATTATACAAAATACAAAGGGTTAATGCACTAAAACATAATAGGCCCAACGGGCCTTACGTATATCGGTTTATATGGTTTGTTGTGATTTTTTTTAAGGGTACGAACTTGTGTATTTAGGTTTTAAAATGTCATTATGAAAAATTTGACCATCCTAATCACCAGTTTGCATATGCCACCTAGTTGCCAACTAATCCACCTCATTTGCCACGTTGGTGTGAGAGCTTAGTAGCTTACGACCAAATTAGAAAAATCTCCTGCTCTCAACTTGTTCATCAGCAGTGATAAAGAAAAAAACAAGGGTTTGCTTTAATGATTATTTTCCCTCAAAATCGAAAGCTTAACCCCAAAATCATTGTCAGTTGGTTGGATTTGAGTGGAGGTTCGTAAATTGCATGGGGATACGAAGGTTTTGAGAGACAAATTGCAATTAAGTTCATTATCTACCGTCTCTGTTCGTAAATCCAATGCTTCCCAAGCTTTTTTCCCAATGTTCAATTCCTCCACGTTCGGCGACACCGGTGTTGACAACATCACACCTTCACCTTCACCATTCACAATCATTGTGCCCTAAAGTGTCATAGAATTAGTTTGATTGGATTGAACATGAGCTTTTGCAGACAATACAACTGAAACTGTACAAGGTACAAACAAAAACCTTCGAGAATAGTTGTGATTGAACCGATGACTCACCCACACTGGCTCCACGAACTAGCCCCGTTTCCATCGTTTGCCCTTTGATTACGTCGATGATTATCCCGATTAGTGCTCCACCTGCATCACATACTCAATTTCGTTAGAGAAATTTGTGAATCGGATTGTGAAATTGGAGTGGGGAAGAATGAATAATAATAATGAAGAATGAAGAATGAAGAAACGAACCTAAAGTGAAGGCGCAAGTGAGAAACGCTAAGAAGATTCTATTGATGATATTTAAAAGAGTCTCGATTTGGAAATCAGGCATGGTGTTCACCGACCGAAGTAATATGTCGAAGGAAATGAGGAGGTCGGTGGAGGTGGGAATAACGTAGAGGAATGGGA